ATAAAATATATAAAAATATAAAAGGATCAATAAAATAATAAAAGAATGTTTTTATAAACATAGATCATGCTTCATATTGAAAAGAAGTTCATAGCTTGACATTTAGGGAAACTGAATTTATCACTTTCCGAATTTCATCTTTATTTTTAATCCAATGAATGTACTATTAATCTTATCAATTTTTTAAATCACGAATTGAACAATATATTTCATATTACTTTTTATTACAATTCTTTTATAAAGCATTTATATACCTACGTTTATATAATTTTTTCTTATTTTTCTTATTTTTGCAAAAGAAGTGATATAGTTTGATCATTTAATCCGGGACACATTGTATATACAATATACTTATTCAATATACTTCTTTGTCCAATAAAAATCATGAAAAAATTACGAAAATAAAATAATTAACGGAAGGATGATAAGATGAACGGAATCGCAGAAATGGGATCGATTCTTCCTCCAAACGAAACGAAAATACACTCTTTCGAATGGGGTTTCCTTCAGCTTCACGAAAAAGTCAAAAACCATTTCATCGAATCGACGTCCGACGTAACGACCGGCCAATCTTCACGATTCCCCTCCCTTTTTCACCCTTTCCCCTGACGAGTCAGTCCCTCAGTTTAGATAGCGAGAAAACAATATCCCGTCCTCCATCTTTCTTTAGATTTTCAAGGGCTCGAGTCGTCGAGGAATCGTGCTGCTAATCTACGACAAAAGCGTCCGCCTATCGAACACACTGTTCGGAACTTACCGTAGACCGTTATCTCGCCGCGACTTCCGTCCTTCTCGTTCCTTTCTCACTCTTTCCCCCTCCTCTCGACCTTTTTTTGCGGCCAAGGATACTTTTGCGCGAGGAGCAATACGTTATCACGGTGGAGAGATTCGAAGGAAACGATTGCTCGGACAATCGAGCGATATAAAATCGATCCGCACTCTCGTCTCTCAAGAGAAAGAAGAAATTTCTCGTCTTATAAGACAGGGAGGTCGTCGTCTGCTCTAGAAGCCTTGATTTATTAGGATAGGTCTTTTCCAACCTGTAAGTTGGAAGTCAATTTAGGAGAAGATATAGAGAGATCACTTTAATCTTTAGATTTGGATTATATTGCAAGTAAGTGTTTTTTCTTTTTATCGTTTCCATTCTTTAAATAAAAAAGAAATTTTTTTCTCTAATTTCTTTCAAATTTAATATATATGTAAAGATTTCGAAGATTTATGTATGAAGGACAAGATAGCCTTTACTTTTCAATAACGAGTACCTTCAATCGACTAATAATAATTTAGAAGCGGATATAGTTTCCTAACCCTCAATTTACACAGAAATGTATTATTTCACAAGTCACACTTACACGCCTAGTGACAGATTCTAGTAAGAATAAGAAGCGAGCGCTCCTCTCTTAATGTGCATTTTCATGAAAAATAAGGATTAGAAGAAAAATCAAATGATAATCTTCTAGATCAGTTAAAATAGAAATAAAATACAGAAATAGAATTCAGTAACGATATAGTTTAAGAAATAGTATAAAAAATACAGTTAGAATCATTACAGTTGACAGCAAAACAGTTGAACTATCATCATTCATTCGCTCGAAGCTCGTAATATAAACGATTACAGTCGTACGACAGTAGGTGGCGCTTCGAGCAATAGCATCAGTTCAGGCACCATATTGTGCAATATTCAAAAGTCAATTCAGTTTCGTTTTTAACAGATTATACAATTCGGGACGAAATGGCAAATATAATGAATCAGATGAACTAATATTAAAAATAATTAGAATGCCACGAACGAGAAGCAAACTCCTTTTCTCCCGTAATATAAACGATTATATATTCGGCAGGTGGCGCTTCGAGTAATAGCCCAGTTCAGGCATCACATTGTATAGTATTCAAGTCAGTTCAGTTTCGACTTTAACACATCATATAATTTGGGACGAAATGGCAAATATAATGAATCAGATGAACTAATATTAAAAATAATTAGAATGCCACGAACGAGAAGCAAACTCCTTTTCTCCCGTAATATAAACGATTATATATTCGGCAGGTGGCGCTTCGAGTAATAGCATAGTTCAGGCATCACATTGTATAGTATTCAAGTCAGTTCAGTTTCGACTTTAACAGATTATATAATTT